AGAGAGATAGATCTGTATCATGTTTTTAAGATTAAATTATAGCTATCTGTACAAGAGTTATCTAGTAAATGACAATAGGCTAAACTGCTTCAGCCTCTGAAGATGCTTCAAGTATGCTCATTATCTAACTTACGAGCATTTACCTTAACTCTCAAACTATGATGTCCCTTCATTGATGAAGTAATCTCTTCAGGGCCTTGATTCTCTGGAACATGAGCCCCTAGAAAATATAGTCTTCATAAGAGTACCTTAATCAAACATGATATGAATAAAATGTTGGGCACTTGCTGACTGAATTTAAAACAATTACTAAAGAAACATGTAGAGTGGCTGGATCAGAGAACAGGGAGACAGGTTTCACATTTTTATTTTTACATCTGGGTCCTATGTGACAGACAGATATTATGGTGTCTGGCATAGAATATGTATGTAGTCTAGGGAAGAGCTGAGTCTCTTAATCATCAGATCAGTTTCACCTGTCATTAATCTGCTTCACTTGGATACACAGAAAGTGAGGACAAGTACTGCCTGTGGTCCATGGTGAAAGTACAGTGGAACAAAGTGTCTCCCAAATGGTAGTTTATGACAGCTGTTAAATGTGTCAGAGGACCATGAGGAAGACTTACAGTCTATCTTTAACATTTCTACTTTAAATTGCTTTAAAAGGTGAAGAATAAGATATAGAAAGGGCAAAGAAAAAAATATCAGCTGTAATTCTTATACAGAAATTATCTTATAATAAAAAATTAAGATTTTTGTGATTACTTGAATCATGGGAGAGATGTAAACTCTTATTCGAAGGTGTTGAGATGGCTGAAGCACGTCTTCTATGAAGACAGACTGAGAAAGTTGGGGTTGTACAGACTGGAGAAGAGAAAACTCCAGGGAGACCTCAGAGCAGCCTTCCAGTACCTGAAGGGGGCCGATGGGAAAGCTGGAGAGGAAGATTTTACAGGAACACGAATGACAGACAAGGGGGAATGGTTTCAATCTTTAAGAGGGTAGATTTAGGTTAGACATTAGAAATAAATTATTTAGCATGAGGGTGGTGAGATGTTGGAAAAGGTTGCCCAGAGAAGCTGGATCACCCTTCCTTGGAAGTGCTCAAGGTCAGGTTGGATGGAGCCACTGTCACCCATGGTCTGATGCCGGTCCCTAGCACTAAATTCACTCAGTGCAGACACACACTCCTACTATCCATAGTCTCCCTTCAGCTGCTGATGTTGAGACCTTCATTCACTCCAGCTGCCGGCACCACAGACATTAGGATAACAAACACCAGTGACCTGACTCCAGTTGCAGACCCCAAATTCAATTACAATTATGTCTCTTGTTTCTGGCATCTAGAAGTTACAGCAATCACAGACAGGCAGAGACTGAGATTACATGGAAAGTGGGTTCAGAAAGGATTTAATAAGAAGAAAGGACAGACTACAATGATTCAGTGCAGATCTCAGTCAGAGAAGTGCAGTAACCAGTGACTGCTTGCACAGACTGTTTTACACTTCCTTCCTCTCCATACACACCCTGTCTTCTTTTCCCCAGGATCTCTTTCCTCTGAACATTCCTTAAAAATTTAAGGGTGCAAACTCTGTTATGGGTTATTAAATCATAAGAATAGTGGCATGCCTAAAGTTAGCTGTTTGATATTATGTTAAAAAATATTACTTCAGGAAAGACTGAAGAGAGTTTTGGGATGCCAGTGAGTGAACTAAGCAATTAATAAAAATTAAGAATACATAATTGACATGAGCATACATTTGCTAGCCCAATAGGGCCATTCTATCATTGTGAACAAAACAGCTTGGACAAAAAAACCTGTACTTATTTTTAATCAACATTTGTAAATAGTAACTATACTTTTAAATATAACTTTATTATAATTTATTTATATCTCATGAATTTATAGTGACAAGAATATTTCATACTTTCACTCAGATTATGTGAACTAGCTACTGCAAGTGTCTTACCTTATTTTAGGAAAAGTTATGTCAAAGCTTATCAAATCTTAAACATAATTTGCGTAGTCTTGTTATTGTTTGTATTTTCTGTGCCAATGTTAGATATCAAAACCAATGAATATTTTGCATTTGCTGTTGACTTCACAAACTTAAAATAACATTTGAGAGACAAAATTCATAATTACACAGCTCATCTTCCCTAAGAACACAATGCAGCAATGATGAAATAATAATTGAAAAATCTCTGCTTTCATAGTAAAAATATATTTCAACGTGGTTTGGTATTTTTATGGTAAGTGTTCTCAAAATTGCCTTAGTCTTAGCAAACACTTTTACACAGGTTCACAAGAAGACATGTGGACTTGAAACACCACATTTGGTCAGAAAATAATTGCAAAATTATACTGTATGTTAGTCAATCTGTCCTGGCACAAAGTATATTGATGCTTTCCTGTTACAGTAGGACCTGAGGCAATTTTTATTAGAGCAGGAAAAAAAAAAAGAGGTAAATTCCTGAAAGTCTGTCTTATCCTCCTTTGATAGTTATTATGCTTCAAAGTAAGGAAGTTTAGCTAACTGAAGAATAAAATGGAAGCTATTTCACACTCGTAATCTCTTTTTCTTCTAAACAACCCTTACCAGTTACCTAGAGAGTAGATAGCAATGATTGCTGCCATCCATGAGAGTTGACTGTATTGAACTGTTTTCATGTCATTATACCTTTGCATTTATTGCATCTGGATGGCTGTTTCTTCCCTCTCCTACCCTCCTTTCCTCCATTAGGCACAATTGCAAGGATACAAAAGATTTCTGTTGGGAAAATTTCAGAAATAATGTGCCTGAAAAATGTGTGTGAAAGAGTCGAAAGTAAATGTTCCTAAAAATATAGACCATGCATGGGGGAAAAGTTAGTTTTAGAAAACTTTACTGATGGACTTTCTTCCTATATAAATAAAAGGGTAGATTGTTTTTTTTTCCAGTTTTCTCAGAATGACGCTGAATATGATGCCCTCTACAGTGAAGGAAAGGGAAGAAAAGGAGAGTAATATAAAAAAAACAGATTTACTAGGAATTTAGAATTAGGCATGTCTATGCCATTTTTACAAGTGTAGTTCTACGCAGACTTAACTCAAATGTCAACAAGAATGTTCAGTCTTTCACTATGAAAATAAAGGTTGGCTCATGGAACCCCCTTAATCTTCTTTGTTTTGTATTTCTTTTAACTCTGTATCTCAATGTTATTATTTACTTATATTTTGTGATTATCAGGGATAACTGAAACTTGATAGAAAAAAATATTTTTAAAAGTTTTACTGTCCTTGCATATTCAAATGCTAGCTTTATACTTAGTGTCATCTACCTGGACATTTGCAAAGAGTTTGACACTTTCCCACACAACATCCTGGTCTCTAAATTGACAAAATATGGATGTGATGTGTGGACTAGCTGGTGGAAAAGGAATTGTCTGGATGGTCATACTCAGAGAGTAGTGGTCAACAGCTTGATGTCCAAGTAGAGGTCTGTCACGAGTGGCATTCCTCAGAGGTCAGTACTGGGACCAGTGTTGTTTAAAATTTTTGTTGAGGACATGGACAGTGGGATTAAGTGCACCCTCAGCAGGTTTGCCAACAACCCCAAGTTGTGTGGTGTGGTTGGCATGCTGGAAGGAAGGGAGGCCATCAACAGGCTTGAAATGTAAACCACATCAAATTCAACAAGGCCAAGTGCGAGGTCCTGCACCTGTGTCAGGCCAATCCAAAGTATCCTGGGCTGCATCAAGAGAAGTATGGCCAGCAGGTTGAGGGAGGTGATTGTCACCTTCTGCTCCACTCTCATGAGGCCCCACCTAGAGTGTTGTGCCCAGTTCTGGAGCCTCAACACAGGAAGGAAAGGGAGCTGTTGGAGCAAATCCAGACGAGGTCCATGAAGATGGTGAGAGAGATGGAGCACCACCTGAGAAAACAGGCTGAGAGAGTTGTAGTTGTACAGCATAGAGAAGACTGAAGAGAGACCTTATAGTAGCCTTCAGTACCTGAACGGGGCCTACAGGAAAGCTGGAGAGGAACTTTTAAAAGGGCGTGTAGCAACAGGACAAGGGGTAATGTCTTTAAACTGGAAAAGGGTAGATTTATGTTAGACATTAGGAAAAGATTCTTTAGTGTAAGAGTGTTAAGACTCTGGCACAGCTTACACAGGGACATTGTGGATGTCCCCAGCAGCGTTCAAAGACAGGTTAGACAAAGCTTTGAGCAACTTGGTCTAGTAGAAGGTGCCCATGGCAGGGCGGTTAGAACTAGGTGGTTTCAGGGACCATTCCAACTCAAACTTTTCTGTGATGCTATGATTCTTCTGAGTAACGCTACTTCTCTTACACCAAAACAGTAAATCTCTACTGTAAGTATATGGAAAGAAAGTGGTTTAAGTTTGCCTGCTATCCTGACTCTCAAGAAAAGTGTTTACAATAGAATGGCTTTAATTACATTTTCTAATTTTTTTTTTCACATGAAAGCATTTTATATGCCTAATATATCACAAGTGAACTGATTAACTCCTACAAGTTTTTTAATCAAGACAGAACACTAAGTCATGAGAATATTGACTCTTTAAATTCTTTCCATCCTATTTTTCTAGCACCTCTATTAAGGGGATGCTGAAATTATGAATATAGGTGTCATGATCATTCTAAAACACCCAGCAAGAGCTTCTGATCCTGTTCTTGTGAACTCTGAGAACCACTGAGTAAGTGATTATGAGTCTTCCTTCATCATGCTGCCAACAGGAGAAAGGCACTTATGGATGGGATCCAGTTATGAAAAGCTTCTGTCATTTATACGGTTTTACTTTAGTACATTATTATTTTAGAATAGCCACACGGAAGTCTGATTTCTTTATTTTGCAAAATCTATTTAAAAAAGACTCTGAGGATATTTCAAACTGTGCAACAATCACCTAAAACAACTGTTTCAGTAAATCAAAAGGTTACATCATTATAAGACAGGAGAACATTATTATAGGACAGAAAACAAAGGTGTTTCTTACCTGTAAAGCCCTTGTCACATTCACAAAGAAAAGTGTTTGGAGTAATGTTGCTGCAGTTACCATTGAAACATGTATGTGGCTGGCACTGTCCAACTAATTCTGTACAATTTTTTCCTATTTAAAGGGATAATAAGAACATTGAAATTTAGTACATTTTTTTTTTCCTGAAATGTAAAGTTTGTATGTAGAATATAACTTTTTATTTAGTAGGTAAGTGAATGTATAGGTAGGTATTGCTGCTAATGCTGATGACTAGATTTCACCAAAATTACTGACATTCTAAAGCAAGGCAGAAAGATATTCAGCCACTGTAATATGAGCTACTGTGTTCAACCTCATCTGCCAGATAGTTACAAATTAATGTATATCTTAAAATGCAGAAATTGTATTAGTACTGTAGTGTGTGTTTCTTTTTGACACAAATCTGGCTTACGTTTTCTTTCAGCATTGCAAATAAAGGATGTTCTCATTTAAGTCCAATCTGACCAGATTTTTCTTAATGTGTAGCTTTCTGGAAACTAATATTCCAATTATAAGTTGTTTATGTTATGACAGGGTCTAAATATCACATAATTATACTTGCCACTTGAATTGTTGCTGTGACATTATCCACACTTCAGCAATTTTTCAAATTTCTAATAAACCTAGTATTATGAGAGGCACTTTGTTCCTCCCTTACTCTTGCGCAGCCAAGCCCATAATATATAATGGTTTAATATCCTAGATCTTGTTTACATACAGCATATTTGCTGGACCAGTACTTCCGTACTTCCAGTAAAAAAAAATATGGCATTAGCCAACACTGTCCTGTATAGGCTAACAGAATATTTTAAGCATTGTTTGCTGATAATATTAAGTATGATGGTTGCTTTTAACAGAAATGCTTGTAAATCTCTCCATTCCTTTGAAATAAAGTAGTACCAGAAACTTTTTTATATTATTTTCAGAGCATTTTACACAGCCCCCAGAAGTCATAAAGGGCATAGAGAACATAATGCATATGATCAGAGTTTACCACTACATTACTAAACTGTGAATAATTATTACAATATTTTTCTCATAGCATTGAGTTACTCATACCTTCATAATCTTCTATTTGTAAATGCATAATTAACTAAATTATTATGCAGATTGAAAAGCAATAAAAAATAAATTACAGCAAACTTTATGCAACATATCCTTCATTTCTGTGTTCTATGAATCTCACTTTTTTCTGACTTATCAGTTGTGTTTCATAGCATAACAACACTTCTATGAAAGCATTCAAGTTCAGTCCCTCAAATAGCATCATTTGAATTTTGCTCCACAAATACAGAAAGAGCTGCAACAATTCTTTTTGTGATGTGAATTAATATTTCTGGCACTTTCTAAAGGATTCCCAAGCTCCATTGGTCTGAATGCATGAAAAATATAATTCCCGTCATTCCTTTTTCTTCCTCCTTGAAATGGTGACAATGGTTAGGTAGAACGCGTATAATTGTGCTATACTCTCTGCTAGCCTAATCCCAAACCCAGACTCAGTTTCTCCAAAGGATTTTGGATAAGTGCTACAATATTTCCTAGATAGAACGAGGTGATTTTTATTTATTTATTTATTTATTAAATATTAAATTGTTGATAATAGCATGTGCAAAACAATCTGGAAGAAAGGAGCAAACATTTAATTTTGCTTACTCTTCTAGTTACATGTTTGAATTTTCTAATTCAAATTTTAATTTAATCTTTTTTTTTCTCATATAATTTAAAAGGTCTTTAAATCAGGAGGAGATTGAATGAAATGTTAATTTCAATAAACTGCTCTTTTTCAGTAGTTTGGATAACTAACTCCTCTTTGGGAGCTTACTCCAAATGATTTTTTGGTGTAAGAACATGAACTGCTGAAAAAAACAAACACAAAAATCAGTTTCTTCTGTAAGTTCACAGATATTTACATTTGTCTCATGTTTAAGTGGGAAAGAAGCATGACAAGAACTTACTCAGTTTTTCCCCACAATGCACACATGAATGAAGCAAGTACAAACTATCTTCAAATGACTGCACGGTCTTCTGTAACTGACTACATGTAAAAGAGACTCAGTGCAGATATAGACAAACGATGGACAGTCAAACTATACAAAACCTTTGCTAATGATGTTCTCACTGTTTTATTATCAACTAAGAAAAATGTATTATCTGTGCAACATTTATTCTTAGAAAGGAAAAGGAATACCTGAAAATTGTGGAGGACACGTGCATTCATAAGAATCTCCAGAAAGTTCTGATTTCTCAGTGCAAGAGGCATTGTTGTGGCAAGGTTTAGTGGAGCACATATCAAACTTCTGGCAGAATCTTCCAGAATACTGTGAGAAACAGTGGCAATTATATGCTTTTTCCCAAACATGGCTTAGACACCTTCCATGCCCAGAGCATAATGGTGCATTTGGAGACTGTTGGCAAAACTGCTGTTTCACAGTTATGTTCAGACGAAGGCCCATGTTGCACAAAAGTGGACCTCCTTTATGAAGCTCTGCAAAGTAATGAGTTCCAACACCAAGCCAGTTAGGGTCAACTTTATGCAGTCCTCTTATCTGGCAAACAAAAATCAAGTGCTCTTGAAGAAAACCAGCTTTAGGGCAGTTAATAAATTCTTCCTTGGAGACATTTACCAAATTCATTCCATAGGACTGAAAGGATGGCTCAGAGGAGATGAAGAGACTATCACCTAATTGAAGCTGTAAGGGACATATCTGAGGGATACTGAGATACTGTTCTTCTGAGATTTCCCCAGTAATACTTTTTTTCATATTCCAGCATTCAGTGTAAAAGTCTGAACAGATGTTTTCCCTTGGTGTCCATTTTATTACACTAGATTTTGGTTCCACTCTCCATTCAGCAATCATTTGCCTCTCACATATTACCTGCCCATTTATAATGTGCAGTTGAAGAAAGCACACTAGCATGCAAACTGCTGATTTTGTAGTCATTGTTTCACCTGGCAGATGGGTGTTGTCTTTCACACCTGCTTCATTACTGAGATTAGCTTCAGAACACTTATTCCTTAAGGTTTGTCTGTATTTTCCGTGTCAGCCTGGGAATTCAAAGAGAGAATTTTGTTGTTTTTATTTTACTATTTTTTTTTACAGCAAATGAAATTGAAAATGAAAGCCTCATTTCAAGAATAGAAAATACACAATGAAGTAAGATCTACATCCAGATACACTGATGGGAAACTGGACAGAGTCTAGTTAACTGACCAGGACCATACCACTGTAACTTAAATCAGATTTTTACTGTTTACATCCCTGCTAGTGTTTTTATTTTAAATTTGTACATTCCATTGTACTTGTATGTGGAAGAGAAAGTGCTTAACAGCATATTTTACATATTCCTTCCCTCTGTTGACAAAACCAAATGATAACCAAGTTAATATAGTATATCTGTGGCAAAACTAACTAGTAAACCAGAACATCTAAGCTCTAGTAATGAGCTTTAACCATAGATGTTTTCCTGATTATGTGTTATCATTTATTTATGATAAAAATGGATATTCTGAAGATGTACATATATGAATTATGGCTTCAATGAAGAAAACATGCAAGTACATTCTCAACTCTTCTATGCTCACATAAACTCAGCAAAACAATTAAATCCCTAGTTATCAAATTATCTGTCTGAAAACCAAAGGTCTTTAATCATATGCTTGAGATTTTTTGATACACCACAATCAAAGCCAGCAGACTAGACAGCCCTCCAAAATTTTTCAATACAAAACTAATTTTTGTTTTATAAAACTATACTTAGGAAGGCACATAAATTGTCCTTCTGTATTCCTTTTTTCTTCTTTCATATTACTACATTGTGATTCATGAATGACACATTACTGCTTTGAAATCTCAAAGACACAGATTTTATAAATTTACTTCTTCATTCCTGTTTCTACATATAAAATAATTACAAATATTAGAATTTCACCTTTAAAAATCTTCATCAAAGAGGTGAGAAGCTCAGCCAATAGTTCTTCATCCTTTTTCCTCTGAAGAATTTGGTTATTGAAAATAATTGATTATAATGCTTCTATTTTACTTTTTAGAAAAGTTACTTGAATTTTCTTAGAGAAACAGTACTCTTTATATAAAAGGCTGAGCAATGAAACAGTTTGAGACAAAAGTACTACTAATGTAGTTAATTTACATATAGTGCTATCAGCCCATTTTGTAATACAGTGAATTACAAAACATGTGAAGTACCTTACATTCAGCTGATTGGAATATTTACATTAGTTTATTTGCATTTGAATTGAAACCTCTGTGAATGATAGATAAAACAAGAAAAAAAAAATAAAATAATTGCAAAACTTAACAGATCTTGCAGTAATGAGCAATGACCTTCAGTTAGACCTTGTATGTAAACATTTCTCAGTTGAATAGAATATGTAATAAAAATTCTATATACAAAACTATTTATGTGTCCAGTAATGCCTGATTTTAACTAAATCTGACTCTCAGTGTACTTCTAGCTTTTTATTTTATTTATTGCAACCAACTAATTTTCAAATTAAAATGAATCTACTATTATCAATCAATATTTTCAATATGATTTTCATTCTTCAGCTAAACACCTGCCTGATGATGGGAAGTGCTGAACGAGTCATTTTGCTTTACTTGTGTGCATGGCTTTTGCTTTACCTGTTTAGTTGTCTTTATGTCAACCCTTGAGTTTTCTCACTTTTATCTTTTCAATTCTCCCACATCCCACCAGTGGGGAGTAAGCAAGTGGCTGTGTGGGGCTTAGTTACTGGCTGGGGTTGAACCATGACACTGTCTCACTTTAAGAAATGTATTTTGTTGCTTCACACTGCTTGAAAATGAAGACAAACCCATGAACTATGTGGTATTCAACAAAATTGTTTCCTAATCAAAGCAAAAGAATTAAGTCCATCATGTAGAATAATCTGCATGAAAACTAGCATAAATCTTGAATATAAAATTTGTTTTGCCAACTCCAGCTAATTTAGGTACAGTGAATTAGTCTCAGCACTGTGTAAGTATTAGCCTGATTTATTAATTCACAAGGAACCATATTTGTCAAGGTTTGCTTGACTATTGCAGTCTATTGTAACTGTCATTCAGGACAGAGAGAAAAAACAAGGTTATTTGAGACTTCTAGAAGTTCTACTTTACTGAGAAATTAGTGAGGAGAGTAGCAAAAAGAAGGTCCAGTTCTCTTCTGAATTTGTATCAAAGTATTAAAAAGGATCATAGGACTATGGTTTCACTTTTGTCTTTTGTTTGTAATGTTTTTATTATTTTTTAAATATTTATTGATTGATTGATTTTAAATTTTTCCATTATAAGATAGACCCTTGTTCTACTAGATGGTTAAATAAAATAAAAACACCACCATTAAATTATTAAGTATTTAATGGTATTATTTAGGGTCTAGATAAGTATTAGAATATAGCAAAATAGTAGGAAATAAAACATTTAAGATACAACAGCTGTGTGTATAGTAAGGATCAAGTATCAGTTTATCAATTCTGGAAATGAGAAAATAGCATTCATCTTCCACACTGTTACACTGTTAGACTGGTTCATGGAATAACTGTGACCATTACCAACTTGTACTCAAACAATTTGTTCTCAAGCACAATTTGTGAGAGATTTCAAGCCAAGGATCATTTCCAGTAGGCAGCTGAGTGCAGACACATGTTCTGGAGGCTAAGAAAAAGTGATAGTTTGGATGGGTCAGACAATCCCATTAAGCCTCAAGACATGACTACAGGCTCTGGAAATATACAGTTACTAGAAAAATGTCTTCAGACCTTTAATGTTGGATAAGACTGTATTATTTCAGGGAACTTGGAAGTGCAAGACAAAATACAATGCATACTTCTAACAGGTAAAATAATTGCCTAGAAGACATAACTCAGAACACATGCCCAGAACATGACTGCTGCTTTCCTAGTATTTAAAAATATATAAAAGTAAAATAATTGGACTCATGAATAATGAAAATAAATTAAATTGTATGGCTCACGATATCAAAGGGTCTATATTTTTGTTGCAAATATTCTATATCTGACAAAAATGCAATAAGAGCACAACTTTTAAATACCGCCAGGGATTGTGACTCAACCACATTACTGAGAGGAAAGTGAATAGACACAGGGAATGCATACTCACTGTAAGTGGCAAAATTTATAATATACATACCTAATAGGTCAGAAATTTACATTTAATCTTAAAATTGACAAAGTCGGGCCTCCTAAAATGTTATGAATTAATGTATTTGATATCAAGTGTACAATGGGGTATCTAGGCAATAGAATAAACTGAATATCTGGTTTATCTTTGTAGGATTTAGCAAATTGTTACTTTATGAGAAGGATAAGAACTAGAACACCTTCCATCTGCTCCTCTAACTACATTCTCATATACAGTGATTTAAAGGGCTTGTTTCCAATTTTGGGGAATTTAACTTAGGATTTTTGTCCTATTTTTTAGTAATATTTTTGAAAGAATTAAAAAAATAAATAATAGAATCATAGAATCCTAGGGGTTGGAAGGGACCTCGAAAGATCATCTAGTCCAAATCCCCTCTCAGAGCAGGGTCACCTGGAGCACATCACATAGGAACGCATCCAGGTGGGTTTTGAATATCTCCAGTGAAGGAGACTCCACAACCTCCCTGGGCAGCCTGTTCCAGTGCTCTGTCACTCTCACAGTAAAAATTTTTTTTCGGATATTCACCTTGAACCTCCTATGCTCCAATTTGCATCCATTACCCCTTGTCCTATCACTGGTCATCATTGAGAAAAGCCTAACTCCATCTCCCTGACACTCACCCCTTACATATTTGTAAACATTGATGAGGTCACCCCTCAGTCTCATTCTCTCCAAGCTAAAGAGACCCAGCTCCCTCAGCCTTTCCTCAGAAGGGAGATGTTCCACTCCCTTAATCATCTTTGTAGCTCTGCGCTGGACTCTTTCGAGCAGTTCCCTGTCCTTCTTGAACTGAGGGGCCCAGAACTGGACACAATACTCCAGATGCGGCCTCACCAGTGCAGAATAGAGGGGGAGGAGAACCTCTCTTGACCAACTAACCACACCCTTTCTAATGCACCCCAGGATGCCATTGGCCTTCTTGGCCACAAGGGCACAATGCTGGCTCATGGTCATCCTCCTGTCTACCAGGACCCCCAGGTCCCTTTCTCCTACACTGCTCTCCAGCAGGTCAGCCCCCAACCTGTACTGGTACATGGTGTTTCTCTTCCCCAAATGCAAAACTCTACACTTCCCCTTATTGAACTTCATCAGGTTTCTCCCTGCCCAACTCTCCAGCCTGTCTAAGTCTCTCTGAATGGCAGCACAGCCTTCTGGTGTGTCAGCCACTCCTCCCAGCTTAGTGTCATCAGCAAACTTGCTGAGGGTACATTAGGATTTATGCTACCTATGACAGTTATGTACCATTTTCTGTGTTTTTAGTTGTCTCCACCATAATTCTTTTATGGATTCACTCAATAAAGAATATGTGACCTTTCTGTTTCAGGGATAAGAATGAAAACCCTGAAGGCTCACAATTATCATCAGATGTATTTTGAAAGACCCAAGTAAACAGACAGATCCTAGGTCTTTAGAAGTCACTGTTAACACTGAGAATATCAGCCAAACCTTTACAAGTAATATAATAACCAGAGTTCTATCTAAGCTAAGCTGCAGCAGGTGCAAAAGGAAAATGTTTTTCACATATGGTACAGAAAAATAAAGTAGTTTTCAAAGTCTACCCTTCCACTAGTAAAGATGAGATGAATAGGTTTTTAATCTAAATTTTGAAGAGGGTATAATGTGGATTGCATAAAAGAATTTCCCTCTTGATATCAAAATTATATGAAGAGCTAGCAAGTATAATATTAGAAAAGAATTTGCACTTCTTCTAAAATCTCAACTGAAATGGACACTCAGGGAGTAATCAAGACTCTACAAAT